CTTAGAGGGCAGCAAAAATAAGGCATTGGCCTACCGCGAACGAAGTCCTAACCTCAAACCCATTGAAAAATTATGGTCATATTTGAAGAAGAAAGTAAGAGAAAGAAGTCCTTCGAATTTGAAGGAATTAGAAGCCATTGCTAAGGAAGAATGAAGCAAAATATCTATCAATGTGTGTCGTGATCTTGTAAGAAACTATCAAAAGCGATTAAAGGCAATAATCAAGAATAAAGGTTACACAATTGATTATTAAGGCAAGAGGGGCAATAATTTTGTTTTATCTTAAATGTATTTTTTTGTGTTATTGTTTGACATTAAAATAAAAAATCTGTTGCAGGCATCAGTTTGCATTATTTAAAATTCATTATTTCATCATTTGTGAAAAAATGCACTTGAAATTTAAATGGAAATTTGAGATATTACAGCTTTATTTGTAATTATGGAAGCCGGGGTGGGAATAATTATGTCCATTAACTGTATATATATATATATATATATATATATATATATATATATATATATATATATATATATATATATATATATATATATAATCTCAAAATGTGTGTGTGTGTGTGTGTGTGATCGGATGTTTTTTATTCGTTTCACAGTTTTTATCCGATTTCGATGATTTTTTTTTGTTTCATAGATAATTCTTCAGTGCCGGTTTTAAGTCCAAATTACACATTTCCCTCCTCTTGGCCAAGCAATCAATCGCTCACAAGTGAGGTTACCTTTTCCGTTGCAGAAAGCCTACTACTACAGTTTTAAGGCGTTGCTTTTATTGTCGTTTATAGCCATTCCCAATTTTTTTTTTATTGTCCTCCATTTTTTTGAATTGCATTCACCGTAGTAATAAGTAAGCATGCTTTTGTTATTACTCAACATTTATTTTTACAACCTATCCTAAAGTTATTCGACCTTACTGATTCCTGTAACTTTACAGCGTTCTTCTCTGGTATTTGCTCACGCATTCCATTTGACAATTCATACTTGCCTAAGACATGCCACCAGAGAAAGGGACTTGCCTAGGTCGCAAAACCGCTACCGCCTGTCCGCCATGCAAATAATAGATAACGAATCGTCTTTAGAACGTTTAGTTTGCCTATCTCAAAATGCCTCTCGGAATGCTTCCATCGGAGCCACTGAGTCCGAAGATCAACGTAGCTATCGGCTTTCCAGAAGAGCCAACCTGAACACTTCTGCGCACGAGGCTGAAAATTATGATCAAAGGACTCAACGGCTGAAGAGAAACGCCTCTTCAACTGCTGCTGTGCGTGAGGCTGAAACAAGATTGAGGACGCAAAAACGGCCCTTTTCAGGGCCAACCACCATTCAGATTGTTAACTCCCCTATTTAGGGATGTGCCTCAGTTGCTGCCAACTGTTATTGCTAATATTGACTTTCGGGTGGGATGACTTTAAAATTAAACTTCTCTAATTGAACGGTAAAAATTCCCAGTAATGAAAGACCCGGTCGAAGACGTTATACTGTTACTGTATATATATATATATATATATATATATATATATATATATATATATATATATATATATATATATATATATATATATATATGAACAACTGGCCCAGCGTGAGAATAGCAAGGTGAAGAAAAGCACCATGTATAGAAAAACACAAAACCAACAATCAATAAATTGGCCAAAAGAACACATTGCGGGGAAAATTCAAAATGGATGAAGGAAGTGAAAAAGCGACAAATTCCTTTTGGGTTGCTATCTGTAATAATAATAATAATAAATCTTTTTGTAATTTTATTTTGTGTTTTTGTGTCCCGGATTGCTTTCCTTTAGCAACAGTCAGAAAGAAAAAAAATACTCAGCTACACACGATAACAACTTTTCCAACGAAATTGAAAAAAAAATTCCTATTGACTTTAAAAGTAAAATCTCTGTAGCTGAAACTGAAATGAAGTTTTGTGATAAATTTCCTTTCATAGCCTAAAAACTACCCCCCCATACACTCACACTATTTCAATACATGTGCGTATCCCTGTTTGTGTGTTTATACTTATGGGGTACATTTACCTCATCCTATCTATCCTTCCTTCCTTTCTTCGTTCGTTCCTTCCTATCTATCTATCTATCTATCTTTATATTTATATATATATATATATATATATATATATATATGCCTTTCTATCTATCAATCTATCACATTCTGTTCATATCTACCTACTCATATCGGTCTGTCTCATTCTGTTCATATGTATCGACCGTTATTACTACGCAGATCATAAATTTTATCCTATCTATGTCTGCCTGTCGAACTGAAAGTGTGCCTTGCCAATTACTTCTTCACTAAAAGGACTTTGAAATTGAAAGTAATATTTTCATGGTTTGCACATTTTTGGTTTCCCATTTGCAATATCGACTTATTGAGGCTGCAGTACACATTTTACTACTACTTACAAGTGGCGGATCTCCTATGAAAATAATGAAGCTTAAAAACTCAGGGCCCCTAAATCCCAGAGGGACTCCTAATGCAATTTTTATGAGTGAATTTTTCAACAAAAGTCAGCTACGGCTGTTAGACAATTTCTGTGACCACATCACTACTTACATAAATCGCCAAACTGCAAACCCTTGATTATTATAGGCGGGGCACAGTTGAGTGAGAGACCACCAAAACACCTTGTAACACCAAAGATGAAATGAAAGCAAGGATTATGGTAGCATTTACCAACTTAAACAAGGAGACCGTCCAGAAGAGTTGCAGGAGATTCCGAAGTCGTCTGGAGACCATTATTGAAGCCAATGCCAGTTTTATTGAATAAATTTACTCTTTCGCAATTCAAGATATTTTTGTGTAATTTTGGTTATTATATAAAAAAAAAAAAAAAAAAAAAAATGAGATGTCAACGTTATTTTCATTTTTGCGTCATTTAAACGACAATTTATCAATCGCAGTCTGTATAAGAGTTGTCCTGAAAAGGACAGTTTTGTAGTCGTTGAAAAACGTTATACTGAAAAGTAATTTGCCGTTTATTTATTTAGATTAACTAAAGGTAACATAGTCTAGCTTGTCGCTGGGGTAATGAGTCAGGCAAACATTTGTAGCCGGACATCTCCGGATATGTTCCAACTTTCTTGAGAGAGACCAGACGTGTCATTCGTTACCGAGCAGTAGAGGAAGTTGAACTTGTACATGTTATACTGTTGGCAGAAAATTAGTAAAAGGAATCTGTAGCAATCAAAGTTTGCTCTCTTGAATTTTTCTAAAAGGTGATGCCCTTTGACATCAAGAAAATGCTCAGAAACTATAGTAAAAAAAAAGGTGTCAGTTAAAACGGATAAAAAGGAGGATAAAAGTTACAATTTTCCCCTATATATTATAAACTAGAATTTTGGAAAGTGACAATTCCACTGGGGTATGTTAGAAAACTTCCAAGATTTTATAGGAAATCTATCCAATTCCTTAAAAAAAAAACTTAAAATGAGATATATTTGTATTTATTTTAAAGCAAAAGATCAAATTTCAGTAACTACAATGTATTTGTTTTTATTTTGACAAAAAATAAGCACTTAACTAGAAAGAATTATCATACAACAGCATCATATTTTGTTTTCATCAATAAAACCACCTCCTGCCTTAATTACTGCTTTACAAATTCTTAATATTCTTTCCAACAGTTTTGAAAAAAAAAGACCTTCCTAAGCATTCTTTAAACACTGAAAAAACTCACTCTCCCTCAGGAGATTGAGGTAGACAGGTCATAATTTCCAAAATTTTGTTTCTTTTTTTTTTTTTTAACTTGAGGTCATTTTGACATAATTTAGAAGAATGCTTTGTATTGTTGTCTTGTTGAAAAGTGAATTGTTTTCCAATTATACATAAACCACAGATGGTACAGCATGTCTTTGTAAAATCGAATGATATTGTTCTTTTTTTCGTGATTCCCTTGACTTGAATGAAATCTCTAGCCTTTTTGGCAGTCTCATAAAGATGGCTGAGCAGGATAATGGTGAAAACAAAATATAATATTTCTCATAAAAAATATTCATAATTTATCAAAATTTATTGTTGACAGATGAAACCAAATTTGAACTTTTTGTTAGAAAGAGGACTCTAGAGAAAGACGGAAAAATTGAAGCAAATACACTGTAGTTAATGAAACTTTATCTTTTAATCACTTTAAGGTGCTTTTTAAAGAAATGCAGTGTGGCCCAAAACTTTTTGCCTGGAGTTTATATAATTTAAGTAAAATGTTCATAATAAATATATCGTGTCCATAAAAAATAGATAAAAATTAATTATAGCATAAAAAATTATTATAATAAAATAATGATAACAATTATAATTATCGTTAATTCACTCATTCTAAACCAATGAGAATCGACCCAATTTTCTTCTTTACACACACAAATACATGATATACTCGCTATCGGACAAGCTTTTCACGCACTCAGGTCATTAACACGTGCGTCAACGAAAATTTAATCTCCTTTTCAGGCCATAATAATAAAAATGATCTTTTAGCATTCGAGATAAGAAAATCAGAGAAATTTATTGTATTTTCTAACTTATTTATCTGGACACTCATTACACACAGCTATATAAAAAAAACATACGAGAAAAG